GAAAGTGGGTGACAAAATGCACTCGCTTTGCGCGCGCGCACACACACACACACACACGCACACACACACACACACACACGGACACACACACACACGGACACACACACACACAGCCTCTCGACAATAAGCGTTTTTGCTGGCTGCTATAGCGCTGCACAGCAAAAACGCATAAAAACAATTGTATAAATCAGAAAAGAATACGCACATCACTACGGTGATAGAAGAAAAGCGTTTGCAAGCAAACAGCCAAGCACAAAATCCGCTTGCTAAGCACCAAAACCAAACTCAAAAAGAAACTGAGTTGCTAAATAGGCAAAGCTAAAAATTATGCTGTCCAAGAACTTTGAAACAAAAGTCCTTTTAGGGATCATACCTTCTAAGTTCAATAAACTATGGGTAGATGCTGTAGGACAAACAAGCAACTGCAACTTAATAACGGATGGAAAATGCAAATCAAAATTCCAATCACCTTTTGATTCCTGGAAGATTAAAGCCTTGCAGAGATGGACTTTTAACAAAATTCGATATGCCGGTCCATGATCGAGAACCAATTTCTGTAGCTTTTTGTGCCAAACTTCCCAAAGCTGGCTTGTTAAGCAAAGTACCATCGCGCATCTGCAGAAAAATTAGCTGCCCGAGTATGAAAATATGAAAATTTCAGGTATGAAAACGATAATTTACATATTAAACCAGAAGGCGAGGCGGAGGAGCAGGTGGGAGAAGGGTGGGGAGGGAATGAAAGAATTAACGATGTCACAGGCTTATATACCAAAAAATATCCACCGTAGCAAAGTAGACAGTGAAGTGAATAAACAAAAGAAGATTCTGAATATATCCTACTAAGACAATGTACGTCAGGACCAAAAACTGATCTCGTTAAGGGAAAATAAGCGGTAATAATAAATACAAAGCTTTGGTGAACAGTACTTAAGTCGCCTGTAGTGAGATGCAAAGATCCATTCGAAGGCATTTTAAGGAATTACTTAAACGACGCTAGCTCAAAATCAAGAGGAACGGGACTGAGATTTCGGCTAAAACAAAGGTGGACTGTAAGAAAAAATCACAGCGATGACATCAGGGTAAAACAGCAGCCAAGAAATCAACGGTTATAAGCCGACTGTAGCAAACAGGTTGACCCTGGAAGCCCAAATGGCGAAGGCGTGACAGATTACAGCATGTAAAGGACAGTATGAGAAAAGAAGGTAAGAGTGAGAAAAGACGTTTCGGTCCCATTAAATCATATAAGGAAAAAATCCTACAACTGATTCTGAAAAACAAAAATTACGATTTATTCAAGAGCTGCAAATAACGCTGCTAATGAGAGATTACTTCCCTATCCACACAGTAACACCACGGGAAAACCTGTCCAAAATTACGAAATTTTAGGACTATGAATAAAAAACAGTTGTAATTTATCAGTATTTATTACTACTTATGATTTTTCGGTATTTTGAAAAGGAAAAAAAAAACCCCTAAAACAGACCTTTTCACTAACAGTTCCACCAAGTTCAGTAGCTTTAGCTGTTGCCTGAGAACCAATATCTTTGGCATAGGATGCTGCTGTTGTTGCACCCTTGCTAAGCATATTCCAACCCTTAAAATACACAAATCAATATCAGCAGAACAAATGAAAAAATACGAAAACCGATGTACTAGTGGGCATGAAGCATTAACAATCGGTGCTTCTCTTCCGCTGAAGGTCAAAAGCCCGATTCCGGAGGAAAACGCGGGGGGAGGGAGACGAGGAGGGGAAACAGGGTACTGGAACACCTAATCCTTCTACGATTCGTTCATTCGTTTCAATAGG